GTGGCCCCCTCAAGGATTGAACTCACAACCCTGGGTTTAGTAGGCCAATGCTCAAACCACTGAGTTATGCTGGAAGCTGCTCTGGCCCCCCCCAAACTGCCCAGGATCGGGAGTGTGCAAAGGTGGCTGAAAGCCATGTTAGAACTCCCTCTGCCTGGGATGAAGTTCTGTGCTGCATCTCTTAGGTTATGTCTACACTACAAGCTAGGGCTGTGATTCCCAGCTCATGTAGACATACTTGTGCTAGCTCTCAAACTAGCAGCAATGTAGCCGTGGTAACAGGCAGCAGCAGTGGTGACATGGGCTAGCCGCCCTGAATACATAGCCAGAGGGTTAAGGTGGATTTGTACTCAGGATGGATAGCTACTGCCTGTGCTACACTATTACTCAAGCTAGCAGTGTGCTAAAAGTATGTCTACTCGATCTGGGAATCACACCGTCTTCTCAAGTGTAGGCACAGACAGAACAGAATCTCCCCTCAAGTCCTGATCTTCAAAGTTTTCAGTGGGTTGAGTCCACCCTATTTTAGGGACACCTCTGTCTCTCTGACATAAGCCTGGGCTTTCTCACAATAAAATAAAGCCTCTCTATCTTTTTGTGGATAGGGGAGAGAGAACTAAAGAGAAGGTAACTATTTTAAGTGAGTGGATTTTGCAAAACACTCAGTCAGATATCACCGTGATGAGTGTCGTATAAATGTATACGTTACATTAGAACAGATAGCTAAGAAATATGCCATCAACAAAATTCATAGCTAAATTCAGCCAGTAGACCCTTTATTATTGGTAATGACTCAAGAGTCAGAAAGAACCCAGCTGCAATGCTTAGATCCCAAGCAGAGTGTACCATGCAGCAGTTAGGGGGGAAATATTTCCTTTTTTTTTTCTCTTCTTCTTAACAGAACATATCTGAGCTTGAGATCAATGAAATGGATTAAATATGGAGCCCTACAATCTCATTGCACTAAATGGGGTTGCATGGTCATAACTGGGAGGGGAATTTGAGCCAATCACTGTTCTGACTTTAACTGTACTTCAATTACTGTAAAGTCCAAGTATTAAAAAAACCCTATTATAGTGCATAGATAGTGCACTAGATTCTTCCTTGCCATGCCTCCAATTGTATCCATTAACAATCTCTGTACAAGGCAACTCTTGTGTGTAAATTAATGAAAAGACTCCCATTCCCCATTGTCTCTTAGTAACCGTAATCTCTCCAGCAATTTAAGGGAGCCAAACTCAAATACTGGCAGAAGAGATGACAGATTCTTGTGTTTTTGCTACTGTCAAAAGCCTAAAGCCTTTGTTCTCCAAGCATATGTCTACACTTTGAGCTGCGGGTGTGATTCCCAGCGCAAGGAGACATATTTCACACTAGCTCTCATCAAGCTAGCATACTAAAAATAGAGTGTAGTCATTGGTGCGAGTGGCAGGAAGGACTAGCCACCCCAAGTACTTCCCCAGCCAAATCCCTAGGCACATACTGTGGTCAGCTACCCCCTCGCACTGCTCACAATGCTGCAACTACACTCTATTTTTATCATACAAGTTTGATGGGAGCTAGTGTGAGCATGACGCCTCAAGATGGGAATCATAATACCCCCAGCTCAACATGTAGACATATCCAAGAGGCAAGTGAGAGTGTTTAAATGGATAGATTTCAGAGTAGCAGCCGTGTTAGTCTGTATCCGCAAAAAGAAGAACAGGAGTACTTGTGGCACCTTAAAGACTAACAAATTTATTAGAGCATAAGCTTTCGTGGACTACAGCCCACTTCTTCGGATGCATATAGATATATATATATGCATATGCATATATTTTAAGTGGATAGAGTTTAACAACAAAAAACAACCTAGAGTTCAGGCCCCAACCAAACCTTAGATCTGGGCCCAAATCAAAACATCTGATCCAAGACTTTAAGGAGTTTGAAATATGCATCTGGATCCAAATTCTGAGCCCATCTCTATTAAAAAATAAAATTCTTTAGAATGGTGAGTGGAAGAAAAGGATCATGGGAAAATCAGGATGGTTCTGTAAACATCACTGCTTTGATACCACCTATTAAATTCTCAAGACTTCTTGATAGTGGTGTGGAGTATGAGCTACTGCAATTTGACTGAGCTTTGTAGTGGTAATGACTTGAGGCTCTGGGGAATAAGAATGTCTCCTCTTCCCAGTAACTTGATACTCTGAAACCTTCTAACTTGAAATGGTCTGTTTGTATTTCTTGGAACTGGATGCGTAATAGACTGGGGGCAGGGAGGAGGAAAGCAAGTACTAGTTAAAAATCAGATCTTTATCCCTTTTTTATTATTCATTCATACATATTTTTTCTCCTCCCCTGCTCACCTATATGGAGTTCACAGGAGCAAGTAGAAATACCAGACCATATATAAAAGTAATTCATAATTTTATGAGTTATGGAGTTTTACAGATGTGTTCATGGCAACAGCAGAGACCAAAACAATATGTATGAAAGTCTGAGTCATGTGGCTCTGCAGTAACCCCTCCCTAACATTTCAACTTGTCTAGGTGGGGTGAGGACCCCTGCAGCTCCACTGTCTGAAATGGCCCTGTTGTCAGTACACGAGCTCCTAGTAGGGTGGCTGCCTGTGACTCCCATGTCCTGCTCACTGGTAACAACCATCCTTTTCTTTCACCCATTCAAAGGGATCTTCCTTCCACAGGGACAGTTGTTTGCCTCCATCTCAAAATGTTAACTTTCTTTTAATTCTGTTAATTTATATCCCAGACTTTGGAGTTTTGTAATTTTCCACTGGGAGATGCGGGGGGCTGAGAAGGAAATTTTCTAAAGCACAAATAGGGATTAAGTGCCCAATTCCCACTGAAAGTCAGCAGGAATTGGGTATCATTTGTACTGTTGCAAACCTCTGACTGATTAACTAAGAACTACAAAAGAGAGTTTAATGAAGATCCTTAGTTTCAGTGTTCCGGGCTGTTTATTTAGCATTCCTGCCCTCATTTGCAGCGAGTGGTGTTTGGCAGACTATACTCACTTACAGAAATGATATGCCCCTTCAGGCCATGGGCAGAGTCTGCACACTCGATCACAGCACTCAGCTGAGGGTAGCCCACACCTGTCTTAATCCGGGTGGTGCACACAGAACCTAGATGAAAAGAAAATAAGATCAAAAGAATGTAGCCAACAGGCTAGCAGAAAAAAAATTCTGTTGATTTTTATTTCTGCAACAGAAAATTGGGGTTTAGCCTAAATGATTTTTTTTAAATCAAAAGTGTCTGCCTTCCATGGAAAATTTTAATTTTTCATCATAAAACAGAACATCTGAAAACTGAAATATTTTGATTTTGAAACACTGTCACAGTGGCTCATGGAAGTTGTAGTTCAGGTGCCTCATATCCCCATTCCCTTTTATGGGCCAGGCTCCCAGGTTGGACTTCCTTTCCCATAATGCACCACCATTCCCAGGGATTCCCATGATGTACTTCCCTCTAAGAGGGAAGACCATGTCTTGTGGGAGATGTAGTCCAACCAGGGAATCTACTCTACAGAGAAGAATGCTAGCATGAAGCACCAAAACTACAATTCCCATGAGGCACCACAGCTATATCAGCTTGAACAGATATATTTTGGGTCTTTGAAGAAATAATGTGATATGCTAATTTCTGCTGAAAATTCAAAAATTTTCAGAAGGAAATTTAGACAAAACTTTTTTTTTTTTTGAAATTTTCCACAGGAAAAAAACCTCCATCTTTTTAACTATTTTTAGTACCCAGAACAGCAACATCTGGTTGATTAAAATAGCTGAGGACAAAAAAAAATGAACAACCAACATTCAAAAAATAAGTTTCAGAGTGGTAGCCGTGTTAGTCTGTATCAGCAAAAAGAACGAGGAGTACTCGTGGCACCTCTACTCCTCAAAAAATAAGGTGATCAAAAGAAAACTGCACTGTGTAATATAGTAGGAAATAGATTCTAGTCATTACATCTAATTATTAAAAAATGTAAATCTCTAAAACAATAAATGCCCAAGTTATCTTTGGTGTAACCCCAGTGAAGTGTCTTCAACTTTTTCTTTTTTTTAAATTAAGTAAGAGTCAATTAGAAAGTGGCCTTCCTGACAATTTGGTGTTGTCATTTAGGATTCAGACAATGCAGCTCTGCATGATGAGCAAGAAAATGTCAAAGCCGTTATAAAGTAGATTCTAATCTCCATTTTTGTAATGCAGTCAAACAAACCCAGATTCCAAAGCCCTAATCAATATATTCAAGCAGAAGGGAACTATTGGAAAAATAGGAACTTCCATTGATCTTTCACAGGAGTAAAGATATTTAAACAGTGACTGATTTTTCTGAAAACTGGTTGGAAAATTAATTTAAATATAACCTTCAGTGGTAACTATTTAGCTGCCTCAAGCTTTATAATTTATCAAGGCAGTTTTCTTTGAAACAGGATGGCAGCTTGTCTGAGTAAAAACCTCAAGATTTTATCTTGTGAGTGAACTTTGTTATGTCTGCTCCTAGGCTGGATTACAACTGAAGATCTTTCTTGACAGGTCTCCCAGCAGAGAATATAGTGCATTCACTGTTAATTGTCTCCACTTAGATGCCACAGACTAAACTATTTCTGTGATGATTCACCTGTACTGTAGTCATTACACCTCAACATCTCTGCTGTTTGCATGTAAGGTATCTTATGGTCCTCCTGCATCCTATTTTTTTGGATACAACTGCAAGTCTTATTACGTCACTTGCTGCTCTCAAATTCTCTGTTCACAGAATTCATTACACGAGTTAAAAGGCTTCACCTGCCTGTCCCTGGATCTTTTAATCAGTGAGTGCTACACTGGTCAATCCGAATGATACTTTCAAAATTAAGCCCCGTTTTATCAGTTTTTACATTTCCCTTTGCTTTGCACTGTGGTCCAGCGACCAAGCCCTGAATCGGGCCTCAAGAAGAACTGCATTCTGTTCCCAGCTCTGCTGCTGACCTGGTGCAAGTCACTTTGCCTCTCTGCGCCTTAGTTTCTCTATCTGTAAATTGAGGCTAATGATACTTACCTACTGTGTTAAAGTGCTCTGAGAGCTACCAATGACAAGCGCTGTATGAAAGATAGGTATTATTACAGCAACTATTTGCTGTTTTTCTGCTTTCTGTTCAATGCTCTGGATGTTTTTCTCTAAGGGCAGGTCTTCACTACGGGGGGGGTGTCATTTAATATACGCAAATTCAGCTACGCGACTAGCGTAGCTGAATTCTACCTATCGGAGCCGACTTACCCCACTGTGAGGACAGCGGCAAAATCGACCTCCGTGGCTCCCCGTCGACGGCGCTTACTCCCACGTCTGCTGGTGGAGTAAGAGCGTCGATTCGGGGATCGACTGTCGCGTCCCAACGAGAAGTGATAATTCGATTCCCCGAGAGATTGATTTCTACCCGCCGATTCAGGCGGGTAGTGTAGACCTAGCCTAAGTGTTTTCTAATGGTCTGCAATCACAGCTATTAAAAAAAAACAAAAACAAAAAACACAGACTTCTATGAGAAGGGGAAAGGTAAATGGGAAGACACAAAAGGACTAGGCACGCCCTTGTTCTACAACCAACATCCAGTGACTCAGGGTTTGCCAACACTGACCAAAAAAAAGACCCATAGCAGCGAGTGCCAGAGCCTGAGCTCACAAAACTCACACTATGGAGCTAAAAGTAGCAGCGTAGACATTTGGGCTTGAGTTGTAGCTCAGGCTCCGAAACCCCTCCCCTCCCCTCCCCCCCCCCCCCAGGTTTCAGAGCTCAAGCTCTGGCTAAGCCCCAACCTATATACTGCTATTTTTAGCCCCATAGCAGGAGCCCTAGTCAGATGACCTGGGCTTTGAGACTCATGGCCACAGGTCTTTTCTTTGTAGTGTAAACATATCCTCGAAGACACAGGCCCAAAGGGGTAGGAGACAGAAGAAGAGGAAAGAAATTCTAGCTATATATCCCAGATAGCAGTACCAGGGAAGGGAACAAGGAAAAATAAAAAGACTCATGAAGTCCTATGGGATCCTCTCACACAGATTTAATTTACCCTAGAAAGTGCTACAGTGATTGGCACCTAAGAAACCATTAACAAACACATTACAACTACTAAATATTAATGCATCATACTTTGTACTTAGTGCTTTTCCATCCATAGATCTCAAAGCACTTTAGAGGTGTGCAAGGCAGCAATCTCATCTTAATATAGTTTGATAAATGATTTAGTGATTTACACTATGTTTATTAGGCAAGCGATGAAATAAGAGTGCCTACCCTGAACAATATATCCTCAGGAAACTTAACTGAGATGATTCAGACTGTCTTTTTTGTAACAGGATGCGGCAAGTCTCACCAGCAGTCCCAAACATAGCATTGCCATTGATTGTGCCGACACCACCATGCTTCCTCTCATCCACACATCTTTAGCTCAGAATAACTCAGTGAAACAGATTCCAAAGCCAGAAGGGACCACTGTGATCGCTGGCTCCAACCCTCCTGTATAACATAGGCCCTAGAACTCACCCAAAATAATTCCGTTTGAACTAGAATCTCCCTTTTAAAAACATCCAATCTTCTATTTCCAGCCACTGTCATTGCTCTGTCTGCTAGACTGAAGAGCCCATTATCAAACTTTTGCTCCCTATGTAACTACAGACTGTGATCAAGTCACCCCTTAAACTTCTCTTTGTTAAGCTAAACAGATTGAGCTCCTGTCACTATAAGGCTTGTTTGCTAATAGAGTCAGAGTGCTTAAGGCCAGAAAGGACCCAGTCTGGCTTCCTATATATCACAGGCCATGACCACCACCCAGCACCCTAAACCCAACACCTGAAATGAGACCAAAGTATTACAGTCCACAGGAAACTAGACTATGATGTGCCAAAGGCAGAGAATAAGAGGGACTGAGGTGCACCAAGGCCCCTGCAATGGCTGGGAAATGATTAAGTGAGATATACCCAGAGAATCCTGGCAGTGACCTGCACCCACACACTGCAGACAAAGGTGAAAAAAACCCCAGTCACTGCCAACTCTGCCCAGGGGGGAAATTCCTTCCTGCCCCCAAAATATGGTGACCCTGAGCATGTGAGCAAGAACCAGCCAGCAAAACACCTGAGAGAGAGAGAATGCTGAGTGCCACCTCAAAGCCTCTGGCCCTCCCCATTCAATGTCCCATCTCCAGCCCTGGCCATCTCCGATGCTTCAGCGGAAGGAGATTAAAAAACCCAACACCACTAGAGAGGAAAATATCCCTTCCTGGCCCCTGCAGATGGCTGGCTGAAACCCTGAAGCATGTGCTCTTAGGACCATAAGCCATAAACTGGAGGTGAGCCACAGGGCTGCTGAGTTGTACCCCCTACCATCACAAGCAACCCCATCATACAATTGCACTCATAATTTTTTCCAGCTCGCTCTTAAAACTAATGTCCCCACAACTCCTGTTGGGAGGTGTTCAGAACATCATCCCTCTGAAACCTCCTCCTAATTTCCAACCTGAATTTGTTCATGGCCAGTTTATAGCCATTTGTTCTTATGCCAACATTGTCCTTTGGCTTAAATAGCTCTTCACTCTCCGTGGTAGTTACTCCCAACGTATTTATAGAGAGCAATCATATCCCATTTCAGCCTTCTTCTGCTAAAGAAGCCAAATTGTTCCAGTCACCTCTCATAAAATAGGCCCTGCATTCCCCTGATCCTAGTAGCTCATCTCTGCACCTGTTCCAGTCTGAATTTATCTTTAACATGGGTGACCAAAATTATACACAGTATCCTAAATTAGCAGTGCCTTGTACAATAGCATTAATACTTTTCTAGCTTTTCTGGAAATGCTTCACCTGATTGCATTTGCCTTTTTCACAGCCATATCACATTGGTGGCTCATAGTCATCCTGTGATCAACCTACACACCCAGGTCTCTTGCCTCTCCTGTTGCTTCTAAGTGATAAGCCCCCAGCTTGTAGCAGGAATTCTTATTATTAGACCTAAGTGTATTTTGTACTATTGAATTTCATCCCATTTCTGTCACTCCAGTTTTCAAGATCATCCAGCGCTTCCTGTCTAATATTCCGATTGCCTCCGTATTGAGGATGCCTCCCCCCTTCTTTGTGTCATCAGCAAATTTGCAACTCCTACTTTTTCTGACAAGGTCATTAATAAAAAAAAAATAGTAAATAAGATTGGTCCCAAGACCAATCCTTGAGGAACTCCACTAGTAACCTCCCTCCCTTTGCAGCTAATTCCCTTTGCAGCACAACCTGTTGCCTTCTCCCCTTCAAGTAGAGTAAATCCATTGCATTTCCCTTATCAAAAATAATCAGTTATTTTTACAAAGAAGGAAATCAGGTTAGTCTGGTATGATCTATCTTTGGTAAACATCCCCTTTACCATTTACCACCGTTAATTTAATTATTCTTCACTTCACAATTTGTTCTAAGGCAGTTTGCATACTACTGAAATCGGACTTAAAGGTCTATAAGCACGTGATCACTTTATTCCCTTTCTTAAATATAGGTAGGATGTTAGCGATTCTCTAGTCATATGGTTCTTCCCCCAAATAGACAGATTTATTAAAAATCCTTGCTACCAAAATAGCAATCCTATGCACCAGTTCTTTCAGTATCCTGGCATGGAAATGATCTGGTCCCCCCAGTTTTTGCACATCAAGGTCTTTAAGATTTTCCTCCACCACATATATGGTAATTTCCATGTCTAGACACTCATGTCATCAGCCATACTGCCTTCCTGAACATGTTCCATATTATCATCCTTACTGAAAACCAAGGCAAACCATTCATTTAGTTTTTGGCCCATACCTAGATTATCTTTAATCTCTTTCCCATCCACACTAGCATCCCAACCTCATCCTTCCTTATTCTCTTTATTTAGATAAATAATAATAAGGTTTTTTAAATTTCCTTGGCAACAGTTAATTCAGCTTGACTTATAGCAACTCCCACTTTACTCCTACATTTTCTAATCTCCACAACGTAGGGGTTTTTTTGTTGATATACCCCCTATTTTCCATTCCTATGTGCTCTCTGCTTACTCCTAATAACCCATTTTGAGGTGATTTATTCATCCAGCTGGGTCTGGAGCTTTTCCCTACAAGTTTTTCGTTTGCTTGGGATGCAAATTTCAGATAGTTTTCATATAGTTGAAAAAATTCCAAGCCTCTTCCACATTTAAATCCTTGAGCTCTTCAGTCAATCATTCTTGTGGCTCTTCATGCATATATCCTGCCCATTATCTCTCACATATACTGTCTCTGAGAACGGGGTCTACGACTCTGTTAACATGAATGGGCCCAGGCACCTTTAAAAAGTGCGATCCTGTGCACAGGTGAATGGCTGTGGTATATACATTCAGTTCATCTATGCAACAACCCTTCCACCCACGTCTTCATTTTTCAGCCCAGATATGACTTACCAGGTCCGATACCCACTTTAATGATATCTGCTCCAGAAAGAGTAAGTTCCTCCACCATCTCTCCTGTCACCACATTACCTGCCTGAGACAGAAGCAACAATATTACACACGGGAGATTTTAAAGCCACATGCAGTAAAAAAATGATGATACGGCTTGTTTTTATTCATTTCTTATACTAGCTGATATACCAGGAAAGGCAAACAATTAACTTCACTCATTAGGGAACTGTACTTCTGTTATCATTACAATATTACCAGGTTGTCCACTGTACATTTCATATAAATTAGACAGATAACACAGGTACCTCCTGGATTCAAATGAGATTAGTGATTGGCCCAAACATCTCTAACTTGGATGTTTGGAACCCAAGCCCAGTTCCGGATTTTAATTTTGTGGCTGGTCTCTTGTTCGATAATGGGTTGCATTAAAACCCCGTCCAGTGAATCGTTTATTCATGAAGGGCCAAATCCTCAAGTCATTTCCCACAGCAGCAAACATCCAAAGAATATACATGCCAACACCTATGGGAAGTGCATGCATCCTTAACCAGGCACAACTCTTGCATGTTGCTTGCATTAACCTTGATTCCTGCATCCCTTGCATCATCCATTTGTGATCCTTGTGCTAGTATGGGTTGTTCATTTTAGGGAGGATCTGAATTTAGATTTTGAGAGGTTAAAAACCACTTAGATCACCTTTAAATAAGGATCCTTACTAAAGCAGTCGTTTGTGGCAGCACTGAAATGGAAGACCAGGGAGCAAATCCTAACTCAGTATTTACTCAGTCCTTATTCAGTCACAATGCCTATTGAAGTCAACAGAAATTGGATAATGTAGGGTGAGGCCCATTCTCTGTCTGCTGCTCTTGGCTTGTAATCTCACTATTTATTTTTAATGCATTTCAGTTCTCTTTTAGCAAAACTGAACTAGTCAGAGACCCACCATTTGAGACACTTAACAAACCAGCAACATTGTGGGCAGTAGACTGGCGTGTAGGAAACACTCAAAATCGTATGAAATTGATTTTTTAAAATAAGATAAAAAAAGATGAAAGACCCGCAAAAAATACAGGATGTAGAATTGGCTCAGTGCTTCCAGCCAAGTGCTGCTTCTTTCCTGTCCTGCAGCCTCTTGCTGTGCTTTATGTTGTGTGCTCTTGGGTGAGGTGGAAGGAAGCGTGGCACTTGCAAGATTAAGAACGCGCTTTGTATCACTAAAGCAGATTACCATGTGCACAGTGTGATACTTGGTATGTTATGGTATATGAGTGCCTAGCTGTAGATAACAGATTTCTTGGTGTGTCTGGAGTGGTTGCTGGATCTGTGGAGGTGAATGTAGTGACCCGTGGGTTTCTGGTATATTCTATAGGTTCAATTGTTGAAGCCAGTCATGATGTGCAGGAAGTGGATGCTGGTGTGGGAGTGTTCTAGAGAGAGTTTGATGAATGGGCGGTGATGGTTGAAGTTGTTGTGGAAGTCTATGAAGGCGTTCTGGTTGTCTGCCCAGAAGATGACAATATCACAGATATATCTCAGGTATATCATTGGTTTTATGTTTCATTTTTCCAGAAATTCTTCCTCGAGATGGGCCACGGAGAGGTCAGCATACTGGGGAGCCATCCTAGTACCCATGGCTGTTCCCAAGGTTTGGGGAAAGTGTTTATTGTTGAATGTAAAAGTTGTTAAGGGTGAAGCTGAAATGGTTGAGTTTGGTGTTTGAGTTGGGGGGGGGGGGAGGATATCTGAGTGTTGTCCATGGTCTTGTAGATATTTGAGACAGGCAGTGATGCTGTCATGGTGAGGGATGTTGGTGTACAGGGAGGTGACATCCAGGATGGCAAGAAATCGTTGATGTTGTGGAGTTTCGGGAGGAAGTTGGTAGTGTCCTAGAGGAAGCTGGCCCTTCGTGCAGGGAGTGGTTTGAAGATGGTTTCTGTGAGTTCTAATATTCCTTGAGTAAGAGTTCCATGGCCAGATGTGATGGGTCAACGTAGATTCCCTTTTCGTGTATCCTGGGAAGCATGTAAAAGGTCCCTGGGGTGAATCTGTGGGGGATGAGGGTGTAGACTCTCTCTTGGAGTTGTTTGGGGAAGGAATTGAGGATATCCTTAAATTCTTGAGTGAATTGTGGTGTGGGGTCGTCTTTACGTTCTTTATAGTACATGATGTCACACAGTTGTTGGTTGGCCTCATTGACATAGTCATCATGGCTGAGGACTATGACAGTGTCTCATTGTTTGCTGGTTTGATCATTATTTGGTGGCTGGATTTCAGGGACTGTATAGTTGTCCACTTGGCAGTGGAGAGATTGTGGTGGATGTGATGTTTGTTAAGGATTTCACTGTTTATTTTTTTCCTGAAGCAATCAATGTAATGTTCAAGTGTCAGGTTTTGTCCACTAGTTGGTGTCCAGTCAGATGATTCGTTTTTCTTATGACTTAGTGGGGACATGGTAGTTGTGGGTGGTGGTGTCTTTCTTGTGAAAGAATTCTTTAAGGCAGGGTTGGAGAAAGAATTTTTAGCTCTCCATATTATTATGGTATCAGGTTCTGTGGTGGGGGAGAAATTCAATCCTTCGGAAAATACAAATAATTCAGCTCTAGTTAGGGGTAGTCTTAATGGGTTGATTATATTGGGGTGTCGTGTAGCATCCATGTGGTGGGTCCTGGTGTCATGGTTTCTCCCAGAGGTGGTGTTTTGTAGGTTGAGGAGTTGTAGTTAATTCCACTTTTTGCTTTTAACAACTCACATTGACTTAGGGAGGAGCACTGCCATGCTGAATGAAAGCTGGCCAAAAGACCACTGGCAAATGGCAATGGATGAAGGTGAGAGGATGTGCCTAGGAGGTACAGCCTCCTCTAGCTCTACCTCCCTACCTCTAATTCTAGGCCAAACACCTGATCACAACTGTGCCCCTCGTGGCAAGATGAGCCAGGAACTATTTGAGACAGTCCCACCATGACTGTCATAGTAGCCATGATATTCTGAGCAGATCCAAGACTAAATGTCATCTTTGCGGACAATGAAGGCACCAAACACAGTTAACACAAAGAGCTAAGTATGCACAACTCAGGGGAAATGTTCTAGCAGTTTTAATGTAAAAACCAAGGATGGAGATGAATTAATTTGAATAGTGCACAGGGGTATCATTAGGAGTAATGGGAGAGAATTTAAAAAAAAAACAACAACCCCACCACACATTCTGGATGATTATCAGAAAATAAATAAATAAATAGATAAATAAAAACTTGCTGGCAGAGACATATATTAAGCCATGTAATAGTCTTCCAATGAAAATGATGGAAATCCTATCATTTGGGACATTTAAAACTAGATTGGTAAACATGAACTAGATTTCCCTTTGTAAGGAAAGGATCCTCCACCATTTAAGCCAACAGGAGTTTTGACATTGACTTCAATAAGAGTAGGATCAGGCCCTAACTTCCTGATTCTATGCTGCTAATAAACAAAATACTGTAATAATACCCTGACACTGGGAGGCAGTGAGATCTACTGGACAGGGTGCTAGGCTGGAACTCAGGAGGCCTAGGGTCTATTCCCAGGTCTTTTCCTGTCCTGCTGGATAACCTGAGACACATCACTTTGCCTCTCTGTGCCTTAGTTTCCCTACCTGTCATGTGAATAATGATACTGAACTGCTGTCTGAAGTGCTCTGAGATATATGGATGAAAAGGGCTATGTCAGAGCTAGGTATTCAAAAGGAGGAGAAGACAGCATGCCAAATTGATTATAAAAACATATCCCACTCTCCCAAATCTCATTACACAACAGCCATCCTTCCATTGGCACATAAGGCAAAGGCCAATGAGGAGCCCCATGGCATACAGTGTAGGAGCCGTAGCTGCCTTGCACAGTACATCACAGACTCACAGCTGATCCTGTTACATGACCCATGGGAACAAACATTCCCTGAGACCCTAGTTCGTGTTACAGTTTTGTACTGCACTCCTAGTGCGAGCCAACTGTAGGGGGTCATTCTGAGGAGAGTGAACAGGGCAGCCTGCAAGGTCCTGGGGATCACTTTCAGCTATTAGAACACAGTTATTTTTAGACCTATTAGTTAAGGGCTGGAGCTTTCACTTCGAGCCCATAAGAACACAGAGAACACTGCGGGGGTAGAACAGAAGCATAAATTCGTATCTTCAAATTGCTTTTGAGGATGGGATAGAGCTGACTCACAGACTTTGCAGGCAGTCAGGGCATTTGAAGGGCTAGGAATGTATGGAGGCTTTCAAGAGGAAGGAATCACCCTGAATTTGTTCACAGGCTTTTAGGAGTAGAAAAGTATCTCTGTGTAAGAGTTTAGAAAAGCAGTCACCCTCATGCAGGCTCATGTCATTCAGATATAGTGAGCCAGGACTATAGATGTGGTGTTGTTACTAAAACATGACTTATAATTAGGGTGACCAGACATCCCGATTTTATACGGACAGTCCCAATATTTGGGGCTTTGTCTTATACAGGTGCCTATTACCTACCCCTACCCCATGTCTCGATTTTTCACAGTTGCTGCCTGGTCACAATAATAATAAATTTTAATGACAACAGTAGAGAAACAGAGAGCAAGAAGATAACTGAGAAACGATATGATTAAGGCATTTGGACTGGGACTCAGATCTAGGTTCAACTCTTGGGTCTGCCACTGATTTCCTGTGTTACCGTGGGCAAGTCACTTAATTTCTCAGTTTCCATCTATAAAATGGAAACAATAATGTTTTCTCTGTGTATTTAGATTGTAAGCTATTCCGAGCAGGGACTGTCTCTTATGTGTTTGGACAATGGGGCCCTGATCTCAGCTGGGGTCGCTCCATACTACTGGAATATAAATAATAATATTGTGAGCTACTCCTTTGCTGTTCATAAGAAATAAAAAGACATTCATTCAAAAACTGAAGTCAGTCCCTCAAGGGCCCAATCCTGCCTTCTTTGCACACCCACAAACTCCTATCAAAGTCACTGAGAGCTGTGTGTGCAGGGTGGATAAAAATCAATGATTTTTTTTAATAATTTTTTTTATTTAAATCGGATTTTTTTGATAAAATGCTTTTTGAGGAAAAAAAACTATCTAAAGATAGTTTTATTTAAAATACATTATAGCTCAAAGGTATCTCATCATGGAATAGGGATTATAAATTCTAATTCTATAGTATGAGACAATACATTCATGTAATGTTTAAGAAAAGTTTTGTAAATGAGTTCCAATAGTTCATGGATTAGGGACGCAATCTTATGGGGTTCCACAAGCTTCTGTATAGATATTTAGGTTAATCTTTCTATCTACCCAATGGGATTCAGTGCTCAGTCTAGAAGATACCATCAGAGATGCTTAGCTTTGCATTTCTCAAACTGGATTTGTGTCTCCAGAGGTAATGTGCTTGTTAACAGCAAAATGTTTATAAATAAATGAATAATATATAGAGGTGAGAAATAACAGCCCTCAACCCTATTGTCCCTCTGCAAATTTGTGTACACAGAGTCAATCCCTTACCTCTTTAAAAGTGCAAAGTTTCAAAAAGTTCAATGAATAGAAGATTGTTGGGGGCGGAATAGATCTGGACAAGGAGAAGAAGTCTGGAGATAAATGTGAGAAGCAAGAGACAGATGCTTGTTTTGTTAAAATATTATATGTCTGCTGTTGAAGAGGAAAAAAAAATCCAGAATACTTAACGTTGTTGTTTTAGTTAAATAAAAC